AGTAGCTGGGATTACAGGCACCCAACACCAAGTCTGGCTAATTTTTTAAATTTTAGTAGAGATGGGGTTTCACCGTGTTGGCCAGGTTGGTCTCAAACTCCTGACCTCAGGTGATCCACCTGCCCGGCCTCCCAAAGTGCTGGGATTACAGGTGTGAGCCACTGCGCCTGGCCTACTTTTTTTTTAGAGATGGGGTCTTGCTCTGTTGCCCAGGCTGGAGTGCACTGGTGCAATCTAACTCCTGGGCTCAAGTGATCTTCCCACCTCAGCCTCCTGAGTAGCTGGGAATACAGGCAAGAGTCACCACTCTCAGCTAATTTTTTTTTTTTTTTCCCTGTAGAGACAAGTTCTACATTGCCCAGGCAGGTCTTGAACTCTTGGGTTCAAGTGATCTTTCTACCTTAGTAGGAAAGTGCTAGTATTACAGGTATGAGCCATTACAGTGGCAATTCTTGAGAGGTGGTTGTAAGAAATACAACAAAGGCTGGGGAGAAATGTCAATTTAATTAAGCTTGCAATAGAATTTAGGGTTACAAACAGGGCTGAACCCCAAGACATATTTTCCTGTATGCCTCCTAAGGTGGTGAGAAGTAATTCCAAATGGATTTCTCAAGATGTTCTGAACAGCAGCAGCATCAGAGGAAAAGCAGGTTTCAAGGTGGCTGCTTTGAAAGATATATTCCTTTGAATTTATTATTTATGAACAATTAAAGATCAACTTCTGGTCAGTCATGGTAGCTTACACCTGTAATCCCAGCACTATGGGAGGTAAAAGTGGGAAGATCACTTGAGGCCAGGAATTTGAGGCCAGCCTGGGCAATACAGCGAGAACCCGTCTCTACAAAAAAATTTTAAATTAGCTAGGCATGGTGGCACATGTCTGGAGTCCCAGCTATTCGGGAGGCTGAGGTGGGAGGACTGCTTGAGCCCAGGAATTCAAGATTGCAGTGAGCTATGATCATGCTACTACTGCCCTTTATTTATTTATTTATTTATTTATTTATTTAGAGTCTAGCTCTCTTGCCAGCCTGGAGTGCAGTGGCGTGATCTTGGCTCCCTGCAACCTCTGCCTCCTAGGTTCAAGTGATTCTCCTGCCTCAGCCTCCTGAGTAGCAGGGACTACAGACACGTGCTGCCACGTCCAGCTAATTTTTCTATTTTTAGTTGAGATGGGGTTTCACCATATTGGCCAAGATGGTCTTGATCTCTTAACCTCGTGATCTGCCCCCCTTGGTCTCCCAAAGTGCTGGGATTACAGGGGTGAGCCACCATGCCCGGCCACAATTTTTTTTTTTTTTTTAAACCATCTGCAGGTGTAGCTACTACACTCTAGCCTGGACAACAAAGCAAGACCTTTCTTGTCTCAAGAAAACAAAACAGAAACCACCTTCTTACATTATGGTCACATCTGATGAACCCTCTTGAGTTCATTAGGAGAATCTCTGAAATATAAACTGAATGGAGTCCAAATTAAGGGATATAATCATTATATCAGTAACATCAGTCAAATATATAAATATGTTTATGTATTTTTTTTTTTTTTTGAGACAGAGTCTTGCTCTGTCGCCCAGGCTGGAGTGCAGTGGCGCGATCTTGGCTCACTGCAACCTCTGCCTCCGGGGTTCAAGCGATCCTCTGCCTCAGCTTCCTGAGTAGCTGGGATTACAGGCGCCCACCACCATGCCAGGCTAATTTTTGTATTTTTGGTAGAGACGGGGTTTCACCATGTTAGCCAGGATGGTCTCAATCTCCTGACCTCATGATCTGCCCGCCTCGGCCTCCCAAAGTGCTGGGATTACAGGCATGAGCCACTGAGACCGGCCCGTTTATGTATTTTTTAACATTTTAGGTTATATTGTCATGTATCACTTCCTTCAGTTTTCTTCCCTAAATGAGATAATTTTTTAAAAACTTCCTTTAATACCAAACCAGGATTTTTTTCTATTCCAAAAGAAGAAAATAAACAGATAAAACAAGTAGCCCTGACAGAAGAAAGATAAATATTTAAAAACATATATAAAATATTTCTCACAGACTCAGCTATCCAAATAGCCAAATTTGTCTCTATTACCGCACAGGACAAAACAGAGAAGAAAGGGAACCGTTTTGCAAGGCTGTAATGGGCTCAGGTTTTATAAAGCAATAAACCTTTCAAGCTTTTGACAGACAGAAGACAGATAAAGAGGAGAACAGAAAACAAAACCTGAGATTCTGTATGATATGGAGAAACATTCTACTTTGTAATGTAGAAGAGGAAAACTTGAAAGGGCCTAAGAATAAGATTGACAAGTTTAGTAAATGGAATGAGAAAATAATTTGAAACTCTAAAAATCATTTAAGAAGCTATATGCTTCTTAGGGTACAGAATAGGGTCTACTTTATCCTAGGTACAGTACGTTTACATGGGGAGGGGACTACAAAATTAAAATAGCAATCAAAGCAACATAAGACAGAAAGCATTCTGATAAACTAGAATCCTATGTGCAAAAAAGCAAACAGAAAATACCTAGGAATATCCTTATCAAGAAAGAGCCTGCAAAAACATAGAAAAGGCTTTAGTTAGTGCAGCAAAAACAAAAACAAAAAAAACAAAAGAAATAGAGAGAATCAGAAAAAAATATATATATAAAAGACAAATTTGCTGATAAGCAAAGTGAATTCAAGTGGACAATTAACAGAGAATCCCATGGAACACAATTCGATAGAGGACTTACAAAAACATGGATCCCTCTCCTGAGACTTCCAACTAAGGAAAATACCAGACATAGGAGGGAAAGTGGAGACCACCACCATGAATACCCCTTTCAGTGGTGACTTAGTATTGAGAATAATAGGAAATTGCCATGGAGTTAAGGGAAAACCAAGTCAATGCATTAACATAAATGTAAGACTGGGAAGAAAAGGAATAATAGTCCCTTGTCAATTATACTCCACTATCAATATATTAGCAAAGCCCTCTAAGATACGCACATAATATAACCAAATTGGAGGTAAGTTCAACTTTAAACATTAAACCTTAGACAAATGGAATGAAAGTTTTCTTAACCAAACTCCATTATGCCACTTACCATATTAACCTATGTTTTCTATATCCCTAAAATATACATATTGATGGCTAGTTCTCCTTGAGCATTCTAAACTACAAAGATGTCTCATTTGCCCAGACACTTCGCTCCGAAGAGTTGAGTGCTTATCAAATGTCAGTAGTATCTGGTCCCAAATCTGTTTCTGCCAGTTGTACTTGTTATTATTATCTAACTTCATTAAACATTAGGCAAATCAATGACAGATGAAAACAAATAATTTTTGTTCCTGTGAAAACTAAGTTGAATATTTTCAAAAGGTTTGATAATGGTGAGTTGTTTAAAAATTACTGTTATGTTTGGGTGAGATAAATGTAAAAGAAAGGGGAAAAAATGTTTAAATGGTAAAATGTTATTAAATGGTAAAAAGTTTAAAGGACTTTGAACTTAGATTTTCTTCGCAGATTTCTAATTCTTGCTCCACCAAACTAAAAGTCACAGATGATGAATTACAGGTGTGGTTTTGCAAGAAAGACAATCAGAATTCCAGGAAATGACCTTATAAGAAAAGGCCATGGCCTTCCAGCAAAAGCTTGGTGAATTAATGTAGATTTATATAGTTTAAATTAGAACAAAAATATTTAAGGTGTTTTTCTTTTTGTTATTCTTGACTTCAGCCTTTTTTGATCAACTCATTCTAACTCACAAGATAAGCTACTTCTAACAAAGCCAAATTCATTTCTTGTAGCACCTGACCTGTTGTTGGGCATGAATTAAAGGACTTCTCAAAGCTACTCTAATGGAGGCAAACTTACAATAACCAGTATTTCAACCAAAGCCCATCTTTCCCTGTATATTTTACTAAGTACCTACGGAAATTTACAATACATTTTTCATAGCTACGAAGAAAACGTGGTGGTAAAACCCAGCTGAACATTGGCAGAAAACAGAGAGCTATGCAGAATTACTGCAGACTTCAGGGAAATAGTATTGTTCATGATTTTGCCCACGGATAGTTAAAGCACCTGTCTTGATCTCTGCCACACTCCTCCCCAAACCCCAAACACACATGCCCTCTCACTCTTTCCCTCTTTTTCCACAGCCCCTGCCAGCAAACACAGGTTTGTTTCCTTTTTCTCTTTCCTATGGTAAACTATGATACAAGAAAACAACAGAAAGAAATTAATCCTGGTCCAAACCTTTCATTCCATTTCTGACTATTGTCTTATTCTTTCCCTCCTTCCTCTCAACATGGATGTAAACAAGCTTTTCAGGAGCAGACTGAAGCACAGCAAAGTCCTGTGGTGGGAAGGCAGTGTGCTCAGCCCACATTAGAAGAGGCAGCCGCTCCTGTTTCCCAGCCCCTAGGATATAGAGACAGAGTCTCTGAGACAATGAGAACTCCTTTCCTGGGTGAGGTAAGAGAACCCCAGCTGGTTTAGTTCTAGTCTTACAAGGGAAAATAGAATGGCTATGTACTTTATGAATTGTCTGTTATCACCTGATTATAAAAGATAATTTTAAATGAAACATTTAAAATAAAAAACAAAATAAAATCTACTATTTATGGCAGCCAATCTTGGTCGTAAGAGTTCGTATTATTTATCACTTTTGTGCATAAATGAAAACCAAATATGAAGGATAATTAAGCCTATAGCAGCAGCAGCAAAGACTAACAACAAGAGGCTTCATTTTATCTTAGAGGGCACGTTTCCATGATACTTAGGAGTGAGAGAAACCTTTCTCTCCACAGCAACCATTTCACAGGAAAACATTTAGTCTTGGCAATAATTAATTTGTACTTTTAAATCCTTGGGGAATATACTGAGTTTTCTTTCTCTAATTTTCTTTTATCACTTGTTACATCTATTCAAACTTCATGTGGGACAGATCACTTCCACTCTCTAACAGTAACTGATCACATACCAATATCTCCAATACTTTCTTTCTTTCTTTTGGGACAGCACAGCAGCCAGGTGAAGAAATAAAGAGATTTTTGAAGCTAGAAGGGAGAAGGGAGTTAATTTCTTCGTCCGAACTGGGAGTCATTAATGAATAAGGAACCTAACAGTGTACCAATTAACATCCGCAAGTGTGGACTCTTCACGCTGCTCTGGGTGTCCTACCTGCTAGAGTTGTGGGAAGACTTCAGGTACTTGGCAGAAATAATATTTAGGGAGAGGATGGCATCAACTGCAGCTTCATCCACCTCAGGCTTATTCCGAATACGACCTAAAAGAAAAGATAAAGAAAACAGAGCACAGACACATTTAAAAACAAAACATGAATTCATTAAGCCAAAAAGAAACTTTTAAATCTACGTGTAAGTTCAGGAGCTGGAAGGGTCATTTGGTTACCTGTAGGGTCCTCCATCGTCTGACTCCATTACTTCCCACACTGAGTTAACTATGAAACCATATCGATTCTTTATTCAAAGAGTTTCTCACATTCATCCCAACTTTTATTTACAATATCATTGCCCTGATCACAAAAGGCCACCTCCTCTCTGATCTGGAACCTGCAACAGCCATTTAACTGGTCTCCCTGCTATTCACACCTCCCCTGTTCCAATCCATTCTACTCTCACCTAATAGCAACTTCTTAAGCCACTGACTGACTGTTTTTTGTTGTTTTTCTTAAATAGGGTCTTGGTCTGTCCCCCAGGCTGGAGTACGGTGGTGCAATCATAGCTAATTCCTGGGCTCAAGTGATCCTCCCACGTAAGCCACCTGAGGAACTGGGACTTTAGGCCTGTAGCACCACATCCAGCTATTTTATTTCATTTTATTGTAGAGACAGGGCCCCACTATGTTGCTCAGGCTGGTCTCGAACTCCTGGGCTCAAATGATCCTCCTGCCTTAGCCTCCCAAAGTACTGAGATTATAGGCATGAGCCACTGCACCTGGCCATGTTGACTTTATTACACCCCTTTCTTGCTCAAAATCCTACACTCTGTTTTCAAGTTAACACTAGGGGATGCAGCATTGCATAGAGGTTAAGGACTTGGCCTCCAGTGCTGGACTGCCTGGGTTCCAACTCCTACCACCTGTGAGGCTTTGGGCCTAAGGTTCAACCTCTCTGAGCCTCAGTTCCCTCATATGTCAAGTGAGAATAACAATTCCTTCCATATGCTGTTACGAGGATTAAATAAACTAGTATTTTTGGAGCATTCAGAAAACCACCTGGCACATGGTAAATACTACATCAGAGTTTGTTAATAAACTAAAAATGCAGGGTTCTTCAGAGAAGCCATAGTAACCACTGCCTCTGCATCCTCCCTCTCCTTCTCTGGTCAGAAAGCATCTCTTCTGTTTCAGTATTAGTGTTCCATATAAACATTAATTTTGTCAAAGGACATTCAGTGCTTTGTAAACAAAGTTTTAAAAAAACGAAATTAAAAAAAGAAAAATTTATTATGAAAAATCTTGAAAAGCTACTACCACTGCTGCCCCAGACAAGAGAGAACATAATCTCCCTTCCAAGGATTTTTTTTTTTTTTTTGACAGGGTCTCACTCTGTCATGCAGGGGCATGATCATGACTCACTGCAGCCTCGACTTCTCAGGTTCAAACAATCCTCCAGCCTCAGCCTCCTGAGTAGTTGAGACTACAGGCATGCGCCACCACACCCAGCTTATTTGTAGGGAGACAGGGTTTTGCCATGTTGTCTAGGCTAGTCTCGAACTCCTCAACTTAAGCGATCCGCCCGCCTTGGCCTCCCAAAGTGCTGGGATTACAGGCATGAGCCACTGTGCCTGGCCCCAAGGTTCTTAAACTGGTCCAGAGAGACACAAGCACTCTGTGGACAGAATTCAGAGGGTCCTTGAGCTTGGATGGGGAAAAAATTATATCTTTGTTTTCACAAACCTTTAACTAAAAATTGGCATCTCCTTCAATCACAAAGGAATGCAATAAACCACAGAATTGGCCAGTACCCATGACTCTGTCCCCAGTAGAAACCACAGATGTTTCCATGTGCAAAATATCTGTCTATCTATCTATCTATCTATCTATCTATCTATCTATCTATTTATTTATTTATTTATAGACAGAGTCTCACGCTGTTGCCAGGCTGGAGTACAGTGGTACAATCTTGGCTCACTGCAACCTCTGCCTCCCAGGTTCAAATGATTCTCCTGTCTCAGCCTCCCGAGTACCCGGGACGACAGGCGC